GCTCTTCCGATCTCCCCAAAACCCCAAAACCCCATTCATGAGAATTTATTAGTATTTAGACTTAGTTTAAATATAACTGATATATGAGAATGAAATATACTAATCAATAATCTGATTTTGTTATTCATTTTAAATCAAGAATCAATAATCTCAACCAAATATTATTCTCTCAAACAATAACTTTAGATTAATGGATTGAGGATATTTGGCTAAAAAATCAAATTTGATTAGTTCAATAGTTTCAAAAGCTTCATTCCCTATGATCTTTTAAGCAGTCATGTTGGGACTCAGCCTCCTAGCCTTTTTGCATTTTAATCTTAGGGTATTTCTCATCACAGACATATGCTTTTCCCCATTCTTTGAGGTCATTTTCAACTTTTTCTTCTGCTTATTTCAAGTCATCATCAGTCACAGAAATATCTCCAAGTTTTTAAAGCATAAATTTCAGATAAGTAGCTTGCTTTTACTTGAGTTCGTGATTTGGATCTTGCTTGAGAAACTCAACGTACCTCAAGAGGTGAGCAGCTTTTTCAAGTTATTGCAATATCTTTTATTGGTAGTCTTCAGGATTCAAGATGGTGCTAATGGCACTTTCGACATCAAGGATACCTTAGTCAGAATCAAGATATCTATTGACCTCGGTAGTCATTAATTTAATATCATCTGGATCAGCTTTGTCTAGAGTAATATCTTCCTGGAGAGGAGGGTTGAGTCTTATATAGTTGCCATTCATAACATTCTTATACAGATTTAATACTTGCTCTGCTTACTTCTAAACATCAAAGATAGCGCTGGATATGATTTCAAGGTTAGCCCAACTTAGAGCACCACTTTTTTCTGATGAATCCTTTACATGTATTTTTCTCAATAGTGAATCTTTAAGACCATTGAAAAAATCTTTTGTTTTTTCCCAGAAGTTAGGATCATCATCTTTTTATTGTTCCTCATAATCATAGTCTTTGGCTCCTGTTCCCACAGAGATCACTCTGACATTTTCAGCTTTTACTTTTAGTGCAGCCAATGCGAAACCCCAACCTGCTGGATTATTTGCAAACAATCCACCGTCAACAAATCTGGTGCTCTCTACTGAGTCATCTTCTTGTCTATCTTCAACAGTCTGAGGCATAAAATAAACTGGAGCTGCAGAAGTTGATCTTCCCACCTCAATGATAGTTTTTCCTAAATCAAGCTCATTCTCAGTATCAAAGATTCTTGGAGTAAAAGATGGACCTTTCTTGTCGTCGTAATGATAAGCAACAGCAGTAATACATGTTCTTAGCTTTGTATTATTTGCTTTTAAATGAGCTAGAGTTACCTTGTCTGTTTCCTTATATCCAAGTTTCGTATGAATCACTTTTCTAAGTTACTCTTCCAAGTTCTTTTCATTATACATGGAGGTACTAGCAGCTACAAAGTATTAAAGCAATTTAACCTTCTTCAAGGGACTTTCAAATGTTGCTGGAATCATCTTATTCATCACATCATCTCTTAGTTCAATAGCACTGAAGCCTGAAGAAAGACCCAAAGCTATGAGACCACCAGCTGAAGTACCAATTACACAGTCAACAGCATCAGTTATTTTGAATTGATGTTGCTTTGTAAGTCTTCTTATATGCTCTTCAATGGAAGCCAAAATCATTGTAGTCATAAGACCTCTTACTCCACCGCCATCTAAAGAAAGCACTGTGTACCTCTTCTCAAGTCTATGAGGGGTAGTAGTTGTAGTTCTAGTTATATGCTCTACCATCCAAATTAATATCTTTGTTTATTTTATATCTTTCTTTAAAATGTTATTAACTAAAGTCTTTCAATAACAAGATTTTGCTAAAAGGGGTTTTGGGGTTTTGGGG